AAAAAAAAAAAAAAAAAAAAAAAAAAAAAAAAAGACTTGGCTTGTTCTCTGTGTGAGGTGGAAAGCCATTGAGCAGACAAGTGAAGTGATCTGAATTTTTAAGGGGTCTGGACCTATTCCAGTGATAGACAAGACAGGTGAGGGCAGAAGCAGGGAGAAAATTAGGAGGGCCCTACAGTAACCCAGGCTGGAGGCGATGGTGAATTAGGGGGTAGTGATGGATGTGTAGAGAAGTAATGAAATGAACTGATGGTATTAACCACTGGATCAGATAAGGGGCAGGAGGGAAAAAGGAGGAATCAAGGATGGACTTCAAGGGTTTGGGCTTGAGCAAATGAGATAGGGAGCACTGGGGGAAGAGAACATTTGGGGAAGGAATTCAAGTTCTATTTTGGGTATGGTAAGCTGGAGGTGCCTGTAGAGGGCTAAGCCACAGTCCTGACAATGAGAGAGATCAAAATGGGAACTGCAGCTAAAGGGTTTCTTCCTAGAGAACTATGTAAAAGAATAGAGTTCATAGATGGTGTTAGGGTACCCCTTTTTATATGAGGGGCAAAGCAAGTGACCTGTCGTGAACCTTTTTAACATGAAGATTTTATATGCCTTTAACTATCAGTACATGTGGCTCTAAGATTTGGGTACTTATTTCTCATTTTATTTATTCCATAGAATGGCTCCTGAACGAGTAAGGTCCCTGTCACGAATTTGTGTCCCACTTGTTACTCTGCCAGATTTTGAACCATTGGTAGAGGCTCTGCTCACCTACCATGGACATGAACCTCAGGAAGTGCTCTGGCCTGAGTTCTGTGATGCTGTGAATGAGGCTTTTTTGCTGTAAGTGATGACCATTTACCTTATCATTCAATTTTGTTTTTCCTTTTCTTAGAATACTTTAGTATGTTGGAAATGCAATTTTCAAATGTTTTGGTCTCAGTACCACTTTACATTCCTAAAAATTATTGAGGATCTCAATGAGCTTTCTAAAAAATGTGGGTTCTGTCTATCAATATTTACCATATTTGAAATTAAAACAAAAGTTTAAAAAATATTTATCACTTCATTTTAAAATAACAATAAATTGATTATATGTTAGTACAAATAGCATATTTTTAATGAAAAACAGTGACCTTTTCCAAGCGAAAAATTGTCTAAAAAGAGTGGCATTGTTTTCACATTTTTGCAAACCTCTTTATTGTTTGACTTAGAAGAGAGCTAGGTTCTCACAGATATTTCTATATTCAGTCTGGTGCAATATGTTTTTTTGGTTGAGGTATATGAAGAAGGTATATGAAGAAAATCCACCTTCACACAGAAGCTTGTTAAAGACATATTTTAATAGCCATCTCAGGTAATTGTGGATATTCGACATGGATACCTCACCAAAAATTGAAAATGGTGGGTTTTTTAAAGGTTAGTTGCAATGTGGAATCTGAAATTATATCAATGAGCTGTTCATACTGTTACATTAAAACCAATTGGTCTGTCTTGCATTTTTAATGGATCTTATTTTATAGCTTCATACATGGTTCATTTGGAAAATATTGGTTCATTAAGTTAGGCAGATCTTCCAAACATTGACATATTTCACTTTATACTATCAAAATTTACATTCATTCACCACCAGTCTCATCAGAAATGTCTTATAAGTGTTGGGAAGCTGTAAAGCTCACTTTGGTGAAAGCAAATTTTCCAAGATTCTAATTTCTGAGCTTAAAAACTCAAATTTATCATTGGTTATAAATACTGTCAGTTGTTTTCCTTAGTGTACTAGAGTCAGTTCTCTAATTTTTGAGAAAGTATGTGCCAAATACTCAAGTCCGAATAACGATTGTTTGTCTGCCAGTGATTTTTTTCAAGTAAATTTCCAAGAAGGAAAAAAGTGGCTAGTTATCTTATAGCTCAGCAAGTTGCCCAAGTGCTTCTCCTCTAGACAATCATCATTTTTTGGTATGTAGCAGAAATGCTTTATTCATACCTTTTCACCACACAGAATTTTTTTAATTGAAAGTATCCTCAAGGGTAAAATTTAATGAAATCAATGTTTTATATTAATATTTTTCATGAAATGCATTTTTATGTGAAACTGGCAGTGTTTTTACTGTGAGTATGTAGTAGTAAAGAATACAGTGACTACTGTCCCTTCTTTGATTTGTGTTAGGCATAGCAGTTTTACTCACTATTGCTTTTGCACTATGAATGCATATGTCAACACAGTTGTTCTAGGAAAACCATGAGATTCAAAATAGTTATTCAGCACTTCAGGTATTTCTGTACCACATGTGTGTATTGCCAAGTTCACCTAAAAACACTCCTGTCCTTAGTTGGTGCTAATACCAGATGAATACAAGCAACACAACTTGTCCAGCCGTATCTAGAGATTCAATTTTAAGGCAGAAGTACAGTTCTGTTGATGAAATATTAACTTATCACATACACATTTGAATTATTTAATTCCTTTTTGTTTAGATTCTGAATGATTGGTCTCAAGTTGCTGCTGCAATTAATTAGCACTATAATAGTATTTGAAAACATTCTATTGAATAAGACACAGTAAGGTAAATTATTAACATCTATAAAGCCAAGGGAAAAATAACTTTCCTCATATTTGTTTTTCATTTACAGTTTAGTGCATTACTTTGGAGTAGATGTCCCACTCTCACAAGTCAGAGAAATCTCTGACATTTTGATTTCATCTTTTCCTGATGAAACACCTGTGAGATGAGAAGAGAAATCTCTTAATTCTCCTTTGTAAAGCCAGGGGTCCATTTTTAATATAAGAAAATATATTATAAATAAATTCTATTTTTGAATAAAATATTAAATTCTAAAGTAAATCTAAAAATGTTATATAAAATTTGTAAAAATATATGAAACATAAAATGTATTTATAGCTACAATAATTTGGATAAAATTTAGGAAAGTTTAAAAAAATGTTTAATATTATTACCAAATAAGACAAAAATGCACTTGCTTCTTGTTATGTTTCCATGTAGGCACAAGAGAAAATATCAGAATTTATATTAATTTATTACATTTTATTTTTTCCTAGCTTTATTGAGATATGTGACATATAACATTGCATATGTTTAAGATGTACACTTTTATATTGCAAAATGACTAATACCATAGTGTTAGTTAACACCTCCCTCACATCACAGGATTACCATTTCTTTTTTTGTGATGAGAACATTTAAGATCCACTCTCTTAGCAACTTTCAAATATGCAATACAGTATTATTGACTGTAATCACTGTCCTGTACATTATTAGGTCCTCAGAACTTATAATTGGAAGTTTGTACTTTTTGATCAACATATTCCCATTTCTCCCACCCCACCAGTCCCTAATAACCATCATTCTAGTCTCTGTTTCTATGAGTTCAGCTTTTTTAGATTCCACATAAAGTGATATCATACTTGTGTTTCTCTTTCTAACTTATTTCACTTAGCATAATGCCCTCAGTATCCATCCATGTTGTCACAGCCAAGGATTTCCTTCTTTCTCATGGCTAAATAATAGCCGATTTTGTGTATATGTGTATATGTACACACAGACTATGTGTATATAGCATATATATAACTAGATATAGATATAGATACCACATCTTCTTTATTTATTCATCTATTGATAGACACTTAGGTTGTTTTCATATCTTGGCTGTTATGAATATACCGCAATAAACGTGGGAGTGTAGATATCTATTTGATATCCTGTTTTCATTCCCTTTGAATATATACCCAGAAGTGGGATTGCTGGATCATGTGGTAGTTATAGTTTTAATTTTTTGAAGAACCACCATACTGTTTTCCATAGTGGCTGCACCAATTTGCATTCCCACCAACTGTACACAAGGGTTCCCTTTTCTCCACATTCTCACCAACACTTATTATCTCTTGTCTTTTTGGTGGTAGCTATTCTAATAGGTGTGAGGTGGTATCTCATTTTGGTTTTGATTTGCATTTCCCTGGTGATTAGTGTTGTTGAGTACCTTTTCATGTACCTGTTGGGCATTTGCATATCTTCTTTGGAAAAATGTTCATTTGGATGCTCTGCCCATTTTTTAATCAGATTGTTTGGGGGTTTTTTTTCTGTTGAGTTATATGAGTTCTTTATATATTTTGGATATTAACTCATTATCAGACATATGATTTGCAAATATTTTCTTCCCTTCTGTAGGTTGCCTTTTCACTTTGTTGATGGTGTAGAAGCTTTTTGCAGTATAGAAGCTTTTTAGTTTGATGCAGTCCCATTTATTTATTTTTGCTTTTGTCACCTTTGCTTTTGATGTCAAATCAAAAATGTCATTGCCAAGACTAATGTCATTCTTATCCCCTATATTTTCTTTTAGGAGTTTTATGGTTTTAGGTCTTAACATTCATTTCCTTAATCCATTTTGAGTTGATTTTTGTGTTTGGTATAAGATAGGGGTCCAGTTTCATTTTTTTGCATGTGGCTATTCAGTTTTCCCAGTATCACTTATTGAAGCAACTATTCTTTCCACATCGTATATTCTTGCCTCCTTTTTTTTTTTTTTTTTTTTTTTTTTTTTGCGGTACGCGGGCCTCTCACTGTTGTGGCCTCTCCCGTTGCGGAGCACAGGCTCCAGATGCACAGGCTCAGCGGCCATGGCTCACAGGCCCAGCCGCTCCGTGGCATGGGGGATTTTCCCAGAACGGGGCACGAAGCTGTGTCCCCTGCATCGGCAGGCGGACTCTCAACCACTGCGCCACCAGGGAAGCCCCTCTTGCCTCCTTTGTTGTAACTTAGTTGATCCATATATGTGTGAGTTAATTTCTGGGCTCTCTGTTCTGATCTATGTGTGTATACTGATCTATGTGTGTATACCAGTGCCATAATGTTTTGATTATTATAGCTTTGTAATATAGTTTGAAATCAGGAATTATGATACCTCCAGCCTGTTCTTCTTTCTCAAGATTGCTTTGGCTATTCAGGGTTGTGTTTCCATACAAATTTTAGGATTATTTCTTCTGTCTCTGTGAAAAATAGCATTAGAATTTTGATAGGGATTGCATTGAATCTGTAGATTGCTTTGGGTAGTATGGACATTTTAACAGTATTGTCTTCCAATCCATGAGCACAGTATATATTTTCATTTATTTGTGTCTTCTTAAGTTTCTTTCCTCAAAGTCTTATGGTTTTCAGTGAACAGATCATTAACCTCATTGGTTAAATTTATTCCTAGGTATTTTAGCCTTTTTGATGCAATTGTAAATGTGATTGTTTTCTTAATTTCTTTTTTAGATAATTTATTGTTAATGTTTAGAAACACAGTTGATTTTTGTATTGACTTTGTGTCCTACAACTTTACTGAATTTGTTTATTAGTTGTAACAGTTTTTTTGTGAAGTCTTTAGTGTGTGTGTGTGTGTGTGTGTGTGTGTGTTTGTGTGTGTATCTCCTGTCAAGTGCAAATAGAGACAGTTTTACTTCTTTTCAGATTTGAATGCCTTTCACTTCTCTTTCTTGCCTAATTGCTCTGGCTAGGGCTTCCAGTACTATGTTGAATAAAAGCGACAGGTGTGGGCATTCTTAGGGGAAAAGCTTTCACTTTTTCATTGTTGAATATGATGTCAGCTGTGTGCTTGTCATATATGGCCTTTACTATGTTGAGCTATTTGCCTTCTATACCTGTTTTTTTGAGAGTTTTCATCATAAATGGATATTGAAATTTGCCAAATGCTTTTTCTACATCTGTTGAGATGATGATAAGATTTTTTTTTATCCTTCAGTTTGTTAATGTGGTATGTCACGTTGATTGATTTGTGGATGTTGAACCATCCTCGTACTCTAGGTATAAATCCCACTTGGTCAACAA